GCTTCCAGTCAACAGTACGCTATTAATATTTAAGTTTTGGGGGAGTCAAAAGTTATACGCAGGTTTTTGACTGCCTGGGGGTCGGCACCCTTAACTCCCACGTTGTTGAAGTATCAACTGTTTACTGTAATAATAGTCCAGTCTAAGGAACGGAATAGATTTGAGAGTTCTCAGGAGATAAGACCACAGAGCATGAGGATCAGATGAAAGAGAAAAAGAGCTAAGAACGATTCCAGTTTCTGGCTTAAGCAAATGGAAAGACTGGAGGCACTCACTGACATTTTGGAGAAGTGGATTTAGGGAGGAAAATAAGTTTCATTTTGACATGTTTTTTTAGATACATTTGTGAGACAGCAAAGTAAAGCGATCCAGAATGGATACGGTTTTCTTATTCAGAAGAGACATAGAAATTTGAAGACTGTTCAGAATTTCAGTGTTTCACAGCTCACTCCCAAATTGTTTTTAGATAGTAGAAAGAGCTGGAATACATATATCCTATATTTTAGTACCAGATCTGCTACAAACTAGCTGTATGCCTGGAGGTAGCATCAAAACTTTCTGGAGAAAAGATAACTGCCTGAACAGGTTTTTAATGCAGATGAAAGTGCCCTATTCTGGAAAAAAATGATGCAAAGGACATTTATTAGTAAAGAAGAGAAGGAAGCACCAGGATTTTAGGCAGGAAGGGATATGCTACCTCTACTGTTTTGTGGAAATGCAATAGGGTTTATGATCAGGACTGCCCTTATCTATAAAGATGCTAACCCCCTGAGCCTTCAAGAGAAAAGATAAACATCACCTGCCAGTCTTTTTGTTGCACAAGAAGGCCTGGATAGCAAGAACCCTTTTTCTGTTTGGTTCCGTGAATGCTTTGTCCCTAAAATCAGGAAGTACTTTGCCAGCGAGGGATTGCCTTTTAAGGTTATTTTGATATTGGACAATGCCCCTGGCCACCCGGAATCCCAGGAGTTCAACACCGAAGGCACTGAAGTGGCCTAACTTGCCCCTAAACACGGCATCTCCAATTCATCCTCCAAATAAGGACATCATAAGGACCTGTAGGCTCATCACACACAGTACTCTAAGGAAAGGATTGTCAATGCTGTGGAAGAGAACCCCACCAGAGAGAACATCATGGAAGTCTAGAAGGATTGCACCATTGAAGATGCCATTGTTATAGAAAATGTCATAAAAGCCATCAAGGCTGAAGCAATAAATTCCTGTTGGAGAAAACTGTGTTCAGATGTTGGGCATGACTGCGCAGGATTTGCAACAGAGCCAATCAAGGAAATTGTGAAAGAGGTTGTGGATCTGGCAAAACTGTGGGGGAGTGAAGGGTTTCAAGATTTGGATCTTGAAGAGATTCAGGAGCTAACAGGCGCCACACCAGAGCAGTTAAGAGAAGGCCGCGTGATGGAGATGAGGGCTTCTGAACCAGTGCCAGATGATGAAGGAGACGACGTAGAAGAAGCAGCACCAGAAAACAAAGTGACGTTATACAATCTGACGAAAGCGTTCCAGTTATTCAGGACCTGCTTCTGACTTCTTCTATGACATGGACCCTTTTCTGACATGGACACTGAAACTGAAGCAAACAGTGTAAGAAGTATTGGTACCATACAGAAACATTTGTAGCAAAATAAAAAAGCAAAAAAGTCAGACAGAAATTACGGTGTATTTCTGTAAAGTTACACGGAGTGTACCTGCCTCTCCTGCCTCCCCTTCCACCTCCTCCACCCCTCCCACCTCTGCCACTCCTAAGACAGCAAGACCTGTAACTGGCCCCCACTGAACAATTTTTAATGACCCCCATGTGATCCTCTCAGTTAACTAACTACTTGACCTTTTGAGTTGTTTCCCAGAAATGGTGGATTTTCTGCAAGACAAAGGTGCTGAGATTCTGAAGGCCCCTGGGCAGACTTCCTGACAAGATTCACCATCCCCCACAACCTTCCCCCAATGCCTGTAGCCCCTTGTTATTATTAATAATAGTTACACCACAACTTGCCCCCAAGCCATCATGACCTGCCCCAAGGCAGGTCCTTCCCTTAGAAGCCCATGATCTCCATTACTTGGAGAGATGAATTTGAGGTAGCTTCTCCCATTCTCCGGACAAGACATCTGTCATATTAAAAATTCCTCAAGCAACTGGACCTAGACCAAAACCCCCTTGAGGTTTTGACAATAGACCAACCCCTCATCTTCCTTCTCAGCCTACTCAACCTGAAGAGTTTTATGATGACCCACTTCCTCTTAATGAATAGTAAATATATTTTCTCTTCCTTATGATTTTCTTAATAACATTTTCTTTTCTGTAGCTTACTTTATTGTAAGAATACAGTATATAATACATGTAACATACAAAGAAGTGTTAATCTACTGTTTTAAGTTCCCACGAAGCTTCCAGTCAACAGTACGCTATTAATATTTAAGTTTTGGGGGAGTCAAAAGTTATACGCAGGTTTTTGACTGCCTGGGGGTCGGCACCCTTAACTCCCACGTTGTTGAAGTATCAACTGTTTACTGTAATAATAGTCCAGTCTAAGGAACGGAATAGATTTGAGAGTTCTCAGGAGATAAGACCACAGAGCATGAGGATCAGATGAAAGAGAAAAAGAGCTAAGAACGATTCCAGTTTCTGGCTTAAGCAAATGGAAAGACTGGAGGCACTCACTGACATTTTGGAGAAGTGGATTTAGGGAGGAAAATAAGTTTCATTTTGACATGTTTTTTTAGATACATTTGTGAGACAGCAAAGTAAAGCGATCCAGAATGGATACGGTTTTCTTATTCAGAAGAGACATAGAAATTTGAAGACTGTTCAGAATTTCAATGTTTCACAGCTCACTCCCAAATTGTTTTTAGATAGTAGAAAGAGCTGGAATACATATATCCTATATTTTAGTACCAGATCTGCTACAAACTAGCTGTATGCCTGGAGGTAGCATCAAAACTTTCTCAGCTTCTGTTTCCTTATGAAG